GTGTGTGTGTGTGTGTGTGTGTGTGTGTGTGTGTGTCTCTTTGTGCCTTTCTGTGCTCCGTCTCTCTGCCTCTTTGTGCTTCATTGTATTATGTAAAACTGTGTCCTCCCATTGACGGTTATATAGTGCCGAGGCCGTTCTAGCAGCGGTCCGGGGCCTCCCAGCCCATTACCGCGGCCCCTGGAGGCCCCTCTTTCATTGCCAATAATATAAACAGCCTTTCCTCCAGCTGGGACGCACCAACACACACCCCGCCCCCCAGATGAATCCACCCAAACAGCAGCGCCGGGTCACTCGTGACGGCTCGTTCTTTTAAATCGATCTCACCTGAGCTAATAACGGCGCTAATAGCAGCGACATTTAAACCGGCGCCATCTGCTCCGGGAGCATCTTTTCATTCTCCGGCTGCACAACGTCCCGGTTCTGCAGCTCCCCCCCAGATGGAGCGTGAAGCGAAGGTGGAGCGTCGAGCCGCTTCCTCCGGGATCCGAGGCTTTGATGCAGATGTTGGTTTCTGAGCTGCTGCTGAGGCCACGTCCAGGTTGTTCCTCTGCTGATGAAGATGCTGTGAATCCTCCTGCACACTGAGCAGCGGCTTAAACAGCAGCTAGCGAGAAGAATTCTGCACTAAAGTCACAATTAACCCTCTGAATGAGCCCCAAAGCTCACAGCTAGGACGGAAAGGCAGGTCGACCAAAGTGACACCATGTATGTGCAGCGCTCCTCGAATTTATCCCTGATTTGTTGCTCCATCTGCAAAAATCCACCAAACCAAAGCTTAAAACCACCAGATTTTATAAAAATCACTTCGTTCTGCTCGTCTCGTTCAGATATTTACCAAAAACAAACAAGATTCTGTAAAACAATAAAAAGTTGGAGCTCCTGGACGTAACAGAGAAGCCTCGATAACACTCGTTAGTAATTAATGAATCACAGAAATAATATTCATTTACTTGTTGAATATAAAAGAGAAAAACCCGACTCCTCTTACAGTCAGAGTTCAGGTTTACGCTCATGATTAACTCTTTGAATCATATATTTACTCTGAACAAGCTTTGTTTAATTGCAGCCTCTTAAATATGAATATTTTCTGGTTTCTTTCTCCTCTGTGACAATAAATATAATTTATTTTGGTTGTAGAGGAAACACGATGTTCGGAGGCATCATCGGGAGTTTTTTTATTTTGCATTTTATGGATCAAACTAATGGAGGAAATATTTGAGAAATCATGCGTTTCTTGACAATAAGGCGCC